TTTCTTCCTTCTTTCTTTCTTTCTTTCTTTCTTTCTTTCTTTCTTTCTTTCTTTCTTTCTTTCTTTCTTTCTTTCTTTCTTTCTTTCTCCTTTTTTTTTGTTTCCAAGTTTGGATTCTGATTATTGCTAAAAAATTTGACTTCTTGGCAAAATTTGAATCCAGAGATGTGTTTCATACCCTATCCTCCAGTAGGCCATAGGTTCAGACTGGCATAGGAGAATTAAGGCAATTAAGAAGCTAACGTAAGTGCTTTTAGGAACCACTGAAGAAAAATGGATTGCATAATCCTTGTATGAACATGAAGCCCATTTCGCAGATGGGATCTAAATTTGGGGACCAGAGAAGCAGCCAGGTTCCCAGGAGTCCTTTCCAAAGGCATCCTGTGCACAGGCATTCTTTTCACAAGCCTGGACGTTCCCGGAGTAACTTCTGCTCCATGATAGCTTAAAACTTCCTATAGCTCTGAAGAATATCAGATACAGTTTTGGGTGTTTCTTGTCCTGTTACTTTTTTGTGTGGCTTTGCAAAACAAGTCCTTGATAACTAACACTTCCCCCCAAAAATTTATTAAATATTAAAAAAAAATTTTTTTTTTTGTGGTTGTTGTTTGTTCCTGTTTTAGATGAGACAGACCACTCAGGTTCTAGAAGTCAGAACACAGATGCCCTGTCACGGCTTGTTGTCTTTCTCCATCAGTCACCAGCATCTAGCACAAAGCATGGCACATAATAAGCTTTCAGCATTATTTGTTGAAATAAATAATAAAACCTTCAAATGATAATGGATTTCATTCACTAGGTAATAAATCAGATTTGCATTTTTAATCTAGAAGGGAATGATTACCAGTTCCTTAAGACCCAACACATTTCGTTTGATCTCTCTCTGTTTTAATTTTCCAGGAAACAGCTTTTAACAGCCTACACCTTGTCTATTGAATTCTCAACCAGTTCTTGCCCTTATCATCATGGTGATAATACCAGAGTACCATGCTTCTTACTGGTGACTATTGAAATGAGATAACTTCCCAGAAACTGCCTAGAAATAATCATCACTTTATTACCCTTTGAAAAGAAGATTGATAGAAAAGTCATTTGAAACATGGTTCATTACCATGCCCTCATACGATTTCTTTACTCACATCTCTCCAAAGCATGAGAAAGGGAGGATTATTCTCTGAGGTCGGAATTTGAAGGCTGTGTGTTTGCCTCTTTGAAGTCTTGGTATTTAATTTTCTGTAGTCATTTCTTGGGCAATTTTCTAAGAAACTAGTTGAAGCTAATTTATCATAAGTTAAAGTCAAATGACAGAAAAGATTTTTTTCCTTAACAGCATTTTATTCCACAGAGGTTAGCTTCTGAAGGAAAATGAGACTTAAATAGCATTTCAAATCTCCAGCCACATGGGTGGGTGCACAGAACACAAAGGTTCTGGAAACTGCACTGATTTTTTTATTTAGCACAGTTATTATTTTTGACCGTGATATACAGATAAAATATATTTTTGTGAAACCCCCTCCTAAAATAATTAGTTAAGTTGCTTAATTTTCAAAGAGAGGACTAAAAGTCCTCACGGGTTAACAAAAGTCGCCTCTATCATTGTCCGACATTGGTATAATGTTATATAATGTATTTAACCTTTCTCTTAACCCCTAACTCTGAAATGGAGATGTGATGCTTACCTTTTCAAACGAAGGTGAACAATAACAAAAGAGCATTTATAAAGTCCTTTGAGAATCTCATTGTAGAAGCTTCATGTGAGCATTGGATATAGTTCAATAAATAATAAGGTTTTCATTTTTGAAACTACGTGATCACTATTTAATGTTTACAGAGGATGCTCAGTGGACCTGTTTCAGTATAAACACAAAAGTGGTTTCTGCTATTTCTCCCTTTCCAAGGGGAAAAAGCTCATTTCTCCCTTTTTGTTTTGAAGCTTAATTAAATAGTTCAAAATCAGGAAGTTCACCATTTCACAGTGTAGCTTATTTATTTTATTTTTTGATGGATTTAAGTTTTCTCAGCTAACTTCTTTTTCCATCTTCTGCTCAAAGAAAGCCTTCCAGAAGAAGTAAAGCCTAAAGCTTACGCCATCATTGATGACATTTTTGGGTATGAAAAGAGGGCAGGTTTAGAATCTTGGTGATTGTAAAACTTAATGCTTTACAAAAATTTTAATGGAGGGGTGGTCGGGTGGCTCACTTGGTTAGAGTGGAAGCTCTGAGTAACAAGGTTACCAGTTTGATTCCCACATGAGCCAGTGAGCTGCGCCCTCCACAACTAGATTGAAGACAATGGCTTGAGCTGAGCTGCCAGTGGGCAGCCAGATGGCTCAGTTGGTTAGAATGCATGCTCTGAACAATAAGGTTGCTGGTTTGATTCCCGCGTGGGGTGGTGGGCTGTGCCCCCTACAAATAGATTGAAAACGGCCACTGGACTTGGAGCTGAGCTGCGCCCACAACTAAGATTGAAGGATACCAACTTGACTTGGAGCTGATGGGTCCTGGCAAAAACACACTGTTCCCCAATAAAAAGTTAAAAAAAATGTAATGGAGGTGTAAATTTTGTCAGTATAGGGCTGACAAAATTACTAATAAGAAAATTCTGGCCTATATCTTGCTAGCATCTTTCAGCAACTAATTTCCTTTAGAATTCTTATCTTCTCCTAGTAATTTTTTCATTGTGAACTTGTAGAAATTTCATTTCCTAAATTAGTCACAAAGCCTTTGCACATATTATGGTAGAAACCCTTTGGCTAATTACTGTCCAAATGTGGACCTAACAGTTCTCTTCATTGGAGGGGTTTGGGGGCATATTGTGGTTGCAGTTTGGCTTTTAATGAGTCCTTTTTTCTGTATCCTGTTGGTCACCAAGTAAGAGGTCTCAGAGCCTCAGGGTGCTTTGGTAACCAAAAGAAACCCTTGGTGTGTGTTATGGGATGAATCATGGTCTCCTGAAATTGATGTGTTGAAATCTTAACTTCCAGTAACTCAGAATGTGATAGTACTTGAAGATAAAGTCTTTGAAGAGGTGATTAAGGTTAAATAAGGTCATTAGGGTTGGCCCTGATCCAATATGATTGGTGTTCTTATAAAAAGAGGCTATTAGGACACAGACACACACAGAGGAAAGACGGTGTGGAGACACACAGAGAAGGTGGCCATCTGCAAGCCAAGGAGAAAGGCCTCAGGAGAAACCAGACATGACGACACTTTGACCTTGGACTCCCAGCCTTCATAACTGTCGAAATAAACTTATCATGTTTAAGTCACCCAGTCTGTGTTACTTTTTTCACAGAAGCCCTAGAAAACTATTACAGTGTGTCGCCATGGTTTGGAATACTCTACTTGCCCCTGAAGTTTTGTATATAGGGACTCAGGGAGCAGAGATTCTGGGAACAACAATGGAGAGGAAGAGGAGAAATGTACAATCATCTGCTGTGGGTGAGGACAGAGAGCATCACGGATAGTGGCAGGACTGGTGAATTATTATCCTTGAGGGAGTAAAGAGTGGTATACTCTGGAAGATCACATGCATGTTGCAGATGAAAGCAAATGTGAGCTGGGCTTCATGAGATGAGATGTTTGTCTACTGCTACTGGGCTACTGGGGGCCTCCTAGGGGGACAGGGTAGAAAGAGAGGTACAGTGACTATATGTGATGTCATTCTTAGTTTTGAGTAATTGCTCAGTGTATATCTTATTTAAGAAATCTTTATTGAGCCTTACTTACCATGTGTGACACCTTGACACTAAGGCTAGGCTTATTAGATAAGATCCACTTCTGTCTTCAGAGGTCTCCAAGAAAAATAAGGAGTTTATATTATAATATGCTGATCCATCATTGCCCAGTAATAGTAATAATTGTAACGATAACTTTTTATATTACTATTATAAGTAACATATATTGAGCACTCATATTCTAGGCATAAATGAGCCATGCATAATTTCATTTATCTGAACACCATCCTCATGGGTGAGGTTTATTATGTCCACTATAAAGATTTGAAAATGCTACTTATAAGCTAAGTAAGTGACTTGATTAATTCAGCTACCTAAGGAGGAGCCGAGATTTAAAGCTAGATCAAATCAATGACATAGAAGACTAGGCAATACTAGCCAGCACACTGAAAGTTACTAGAGCATGAATCCCTGGGATGGTTTGAAACACAGATA